AGGGGAGCCAGGAATGGGTGCAATCCTAGAAAAGAAAAAGGAAATTAGGTAAAAACTAAGGAAATCTGAATAAAATATGGACTTCAGTTAATAATCATGTATTAATACTGGTTCATTACTTGCAAAAAAAAAAAGGTACCACATTAATGTAAGGTGTTAATAATAGGGGAAAGGGTGGGGAGGATGGGAACTCTGTGCTATCTTTAAAATGTTCATATAAATCTAAAGCTGTTTTAAAATAAAAAGTTTATGTGGGGGGAATGGCTGCTCAGTCGGAAGGGATTGTGACCTCTTATCTTGGGGTTGTGAGTTTGAGCACCACGGATGGGTGTAGAGATTACTAAAAAAAAATAAACTTTAAAAAATAAAATAAAAAGTTGGCTTTTAAAAAACACGAAACAATGGTATTTCATTTGGCTTAATACAACATTCACTGACTCCTCTTTGTTGGTCTTTGAGTATTCATCAGGGAAGCAGCTTACTGCCTCATCCACACATACCTGGCTTTTCCAGTCTGACCTAAAGCTGAAAGCCAAGCAGCAAGTTAAGATACCAGCTAATTGGATTACGTTACCTAACTGGATGGTATTTCCTGACTGCCAAGCATCACTCTTTCCTTCTTCTAGTAATCACATTCCGATTTTATTTTGGGAAAGTCCTGTGTCAATCTGCCCCACTGCTCATTCCCCAGCAGTTCTCAATGTAGAGAACACTCCATAAATACTGATTGCCTGAGTGAAATCCCACCTTTTTTGCTCAGAAGTAAGTGCTGATATTTGCATTTGTTCATGCAAATGATCTCTTTCCGTTCTGTTATCTAGTCCTAGCTTGTAGTTAGTTTCAGATTCATACTGTGAAGGTAAAAGCCTCTGCCTAGCTCACTGAGCCCATTTCCCTCCCTTCCTCCACCTTTTAACATAAACTGAAATTTAGATAATCCAGAAAGTATCTTTCTGTTATAGTCCTGTTGAAGACAGATTTATTGATGTAAGAACACAATGAACTAACAAGAATTAACTGAAGAGCCAAATGCTCACAATGGAAGAGATAAAAAGTAGGAGCTCCTAGTTCGAAGCTTTCCATCTAGTCAGCAGTAAGAAAGTACCAAAAACATGATCTATTTGGAGGCTATTAGTTATGATATAATGACTATCACCTAACTTCCCATCATCAAGCTAGATCAGATCTTTAGCTAACTGAGAACTTAATTATATAAAGATAAAGACAATGACATAATTTGGTTGTATTGTATTTTTAATTAGAAGCTTTTTAAAAAACATGAAATACCTTATTTGAAAAAAATTATTAACAGTTGCTGTTTTATAAAGTCCTAAAAGGAAAATACTGTGTTATATATCATCAGTTCCCCTTAAAAGATACAGAAATGAATAGGACTCAACTCAGGCATTAAATAAAAGTTAAGAATATTTCACTTTAAATGTCCAGTTATAAGAACTTCAAATTTTATGCCTAGAAAAATACAACTGACACTAGATAAGTACTTAATCATTTAATGTGTTAACAGTGTTAGGCTGTAAAATACAAAAACTAACCAAAGCAAGTCAAATTCCCCCATTTCTGGATTTAAAGCCACAACTTACAGCTACTTCCTCTCCCAAGAAGTTTTCCCCCTAATTTTCTATTTTAAATGAACCCCAAATGTCCCAATGTTCCCCAGTTCAAACAGCAACCAGATGTTATAGAAATAATAACATCCAATTATCATCACTATATTAGTAATAATAATAATAATAATAAGCTAATCCTATGACACAGACATTATAAGTTCCATTTTAAAAAACAAGTAGGCACAGTGAGGTTATGCATGAGGTCACTCAGGAAGAAAAGTGGCTAGAGACAGACATAAATTTCAGCCAAAGGATCCCAGAATCTATGGTTCTAAACCCATCACTATTTACTTACAAAGTAAATTTGACATTAAGACTTAATGGCACCTTGAAGCAACCTAATTTCTAAAATTAGGCATATAGTTCCAATAACAAGTGAGGAAAGAAGGAAGGGATTTCTATTTCTGGCTTTTATGATTTTGTAGGCATTAACTCTGTGAAGCTGGGCTCCAGAAGATGTACTTTAAGGTCCCCATATCCACCCACATCCCCATGATGTCTGAGAGGAACAAAGACATTTCCATACAGTGTAAAAATCTCCATGTGTTGGTCTTTAATCACTCACTTTCAAAACAGAAGTTGAGAAATTGAGTTTGTTTACTTCCCTATTTCATTTAGTAATGAATGAGACAAGAAAAATACCTTCGCTTTAAAGGCAAATCTTTCTTCTTTTCCTGAACATTACAATCTGCCTGTTTTCATACATCTTCTAAAATAATTGATGAAAACAATGAATGTAAATAAGCAGTAGAAATACGTGTCATATGGGTGTGTGTATATGTATCTGTACCAGGCATTGGGATCCTGGGCTGTCACCATCGATTTTCTACTTTCTAGCCTTC